TCTTAACAAGAAGACTAAGGCTACTATTTATAATTTTCAAAATTAATTGAGCTAGCGTTGCAACATCGCTAAACCGACACATTGATTCACCATTTTACTGATTCAACTGATTCCCGCCACAACATTGGACGATTTGGTGTTGCGGTAGCTCCTGGATAGCAACTTGGCGCTAAGCTCTTGATGTAGACAAAGGGGGGTCAACTCATGTAAAAATTAATTAGATTTTTGGCTTCCCTTGAGTCTACTAGCTCAATCAAAATTGAGCTGAAATTTTAGCTCATTTATGAGCTGGTCTTTAGTTCACTTATTGAACTAAGGGTTAGCTCATTATTAGCTATGATTTTAGCTCATAGTTATCTTATATTAAATGTTCTTTTTATGCTTTTTATGTTAGTAATCATGTTAGTCTCTTGGAATTCCAAACGACCTTTGGAATTCCAAGATTTTCTTTTCCTATGTTATTTATAAATGTTTTATTAGTAAAATTTTTAAATTCGTGGACTATTTAAAACTTAAGAATCTTAGTTTCAAAATTTTCAAAATTCATAACTTAATAAAAAAAGTACAATAATAAGGCAAATAATAAACCAAAATTGGGAGAAGTTTGATTTCATTAATTTTTTTCCCAAATTATGAAAAAAAAAACATAAATATAAAAATGCATGAAAACTTTGTAATAAAATAAAATATTAAATACCTAAATAAAAGCAAAATACAATAAGAAGTAAAATAAGTAGAAAAAAATACCAAAAAAAAAAAAAAACTAATAACCAAATTTAAACTAAATGATTAAAAAATTACAACAACAACAACAACAACAACATCAAGCCTTTATCCCACTACGTGAGTTTTACTAATACGCCGATAAAAATATAAATCTTTATTTTCATCTAGGGTGATTAAAAAATTACAACAAAAATAAAAATAATAGTAGGGCTCTCCTTACTCATCTTCGTCTGCTATTTTTGTGCTGCTATTGAGGATCCTGTTCCTGGATATATTGCAAAAGGGGTGGTCAAGGGAAAAAAGTTTGCTATGGTAATGCCTTTTTTTGCTCTTAAATATGCTTATCAAAGCTTGTGTTGTAGTTAGCTTGATATTATAATTATTAATGGTGCTAGAGCATCATATAGTCATAATGGGCGCATATCTCTTGTTCTAACTTAGTTAACTGTTGCTCGAATTGATTAACAGAAATCTTGATCCGATCAACTCTGTCTTGGAGGTCTGGCACCTGATCTCATTGCATTATATGATCTCTACTTCGCTACTGCATGGCTTGTTTTGGTCGGCGAGATCTCTCACCGTGCTTTGACATAGTGTTTTTAAAAGACATGATTTTAGATCTAGTTAGGGCACATGCAAACATAAATTGCTCCATCCGTGGATTTCCTACTACTTCGACTAACTCACATAATTCAAAAATTAAACTGGGATGCACTGGACCCAAAGAAGTAGACCCCTTAAGCATATATTGGATTAATTGAAAAATAATTTTACTAAAATCCAAAATCATATTCTTTTGAATACAATAATTTAAAACCGTTCGATCCGTAGTTAGCTCATTAATATTTATGCTCGGCATAAGTTTTGCATAGATAAAATAATGCCAAATTTTGGATTCCTGGGTGAGGGCGGAAAGCCGGAAACAGAAAAGTTTATTATTTTAGCTTCTCTCTCCTCTTCTACTAGGCATTCAAATCTCTCTAGGTTAGAAACTTAATTATTTCTTTGTATTTTATGGAAGTGGCACAAAAAATTAAATAATCATTACCATTAAATTGAAAATGAGTTTGAAAGACTTAGTTTATAGACACACGAGTGAAAGGGACCCTTTAACTACACTTAAAAGCACACTCATTCTAGGCTTCTTCACGTTAGCAAAGAATTTCTATGCAATAATTGAATTAGTTGGATTGGGTTTGATGATAAGGAAATCCCTATTATGATCTATAATTTGACCCTGGATAATCCCCTTAGGGTTATCAAATGCTCGCTCTGGGATGATAAACTTCCATACCAAATTATTGTATCGCTCTTCAGTGATAGCACTAATAAACCTATGGGCTTCATAGGAGGTTGTGCCCCCCTTTTCCCTACCAGTGTGAGCTTTGGGGTCATTTCTAACAAGAGGAACCTAAAACCCAAATGCACTAAAGCTTTAGAACTCAAAGGACATAGGTATGCCAGTAAGGAATGAAATTCAATCCCTATCCATAATTATAATTTTGCCAGCACGTCGTCGTTGGCTTGAGTAGCATTTGCGATGCTAAGTCAAACTGGTCAACACGAGTACTAGCGTTGCGGCGTTGGGGACAGGTAACGCTATGGCGCTACCCTTCGGTATTAAAATTGTGGGCTTTTTGACTGTGAGACCTTTGAAATGCTCTACATGTGGCACCACTACGACACTTGAAGCGACCACTGCCACGACGCTTGAACCGACCACCGCCATGGAGCTCCATCCACCATATTTATGATTTAGGCAAGTGATGTAATACTACATGGGCGGTTTGGCACTATGGTGTTGTATTCCTCCAATGTTGTGACATGATTGACTTAATTAAATTTTCAATAATTGATATGGTGTTGTGATGCTTTAGGGGGTATCGCCGTGGTGCTGAGTTAATTTTTTTCAAATTAATTCATATACTTAAAATTAAGACCACACATACACCTAAAAATGCAATTAAACCCACATCTGCCACATACTTGTCTAAACTCAACGAACATACCAATAACACAACTCCTAATAGTAAACACATGGATCAATTAAGTTGCCTTCCAAACAATATTAAGTTTATAGTCTCAGTCAGATTATGTTAAAATCTTATTCAAGATGAGCTAGCTTTACAGTGCTTCTAAGGTGATCAATAACTCCTAGATAGGGTTTCAATCTCTAATCGTTGACATTAAAATCTAGATAGTTTTATGATTCTTAATATCAACAGTTGCATAAGGATACACTTTTGCTATAGTAAATGACCCGGAATGCCTAGAATTCAATTTTGTTGGAAATAATTTCAATTTTGAATTATATAGAAGAACTTGTTGTCTAGGCTTAAATTCCTTCCTAATGATCTTATAATCATGCCAATTCTTAATTTGCTTCGTATATAACTCCATATTTTTATAAGTTTCATGTCTAAATTTTTGTTACTCAAATCAATTATATTAATATTTTCTCCTTAGCATCTTTAAGATTGCAATTTAATTATTTTATTGCCCAAACTACTTTATGCTCTAATTGTGATATCTCCAAGTTTAGCATTTGATTTAACCTATTCTGACCAAAATTTAAAAAGGTAAATGTTTGAATTTTTGTGTTTTGAATTATTTTATGTCTGGAAATGATATGTATATTTGGAGTGGGTTCCAAAGGGTTTGAACGTATTTTGGAAAAATCTAGAATTTTTCCTTTGGAGCGCCACAATGTCAGGTGCTCCAGCACCTAGGCGTCATGTTGATTGCACTTAGGTGCTCAACAGTGGCACCCCGACATTATGTTGTCTAGTTTTTGAAAAGTGATGCAATGTCGGATAGTGGCGATGTTGTGCTGTGTCATTATATGCACTTAAATATATTTTAAATATACTATCCATTTAGTTTGAGCACCGTAGATGCCAAGTAAGAGAGAGGAGTGAGATTTTGGAGAGAAAGGAAGGGATTTGAGTTCCTTTAGGCACATTCATGACTAGTATGTAGCTTCTATTTATAGTCATGTTTTGTAATTGTGTATATGCCATTTGATTATGAATGAAAAATAAATCTTCTAGATGAGTTTCTCGCTTTGGATGTTTTTAGTAGCTCTAAAAATTTTAATATTCAATGTTGGAAATTCACCACCTTATGTTTGAAGCGGATGGTGGGGATAATGATGATGATCCCGATCAAAATGTTATAATTATGTCATCCTGGGTTATCATGATCCTTAATCTACTTAGTCAAAAGAGATAGTTAACTCAACTTTGTCAAATGATCCTTGTTGGAAACCATGAGCTTCTTCATACAATGGCATCTTATAGACTTGTGGTAAATTTTTGTCTAAGGGATAAATTAAAGTTGGTCTTAGCTAACAAAGAGCTTTGTGCCTTGGCAATTATTATCCTATAATTCATTACTTAAGATTATTAGTCATTGGAGAACATATGGACTTTAGCCATGATCGTAATATAGTTGAGCTTTTCAGCCAAGCCATTGGGTCAGATTCTAAACAAAATTAGGATTTTAATTTAAATATTACTTATTATTTTTGAAAGTTGCAAAAAGTGGGTATAAAAAATTTAGCCTTTTTAACTTTTGCAATTTTTTTAGTATTACACGTGTCTTGCAATATTGAATCTCCAAGTTATGTGGTTGTTTCCATAGAACTCTAGAAGTGCATGACTTCGGACTTGCACTCAATGAATGTTGGCTTCCTAATAACAGATTTTGTCTTGCTCAGCGAAAGGAGAACCAAGTTAATGTGGTAATTAGCAATCTTTAGGTAACCTTAGCAAATCTCAATCTGCCATTTGTTGGAGGAAAATCAAGTTTCCACTATAATCACGATGAACACAATGTGACTAAGAGAACAAACTTCAGCATGGTATTGCCAAATCTTGACATTCTTTTGAATAGTAGGCTAATTTATAAAGGCATGTCATTTTGGACATGTAATTATGTTATGTTGGCTATTTAATCACTTTTTCCATGATTTTGAGCTGTTAATAGCTGAAATTGGTTAGAATGTTTAATATAATATTTAAATTTTTTGTTGTTGAGATCATGTAAACAACTAATGCTTTAAAGAATAGATGGATTGTGTTCACAGCTACTAACGGTAATTGATTATAATAAGCTACGTTTAACATGTTCGCCGTTTATCAACTTGAGATAGCATGATTGTGATTTTAATTTGACTTTTTAATTCGTACTTTTCTCCCTTTTTTAGTACATCCACTTTTCTAGATTATTGTTTAATATTAAAATGACTTGTTTTACCCCCATGTTGTTGGCAGTATCTAGATTTGTTTCTTACTCGAATAGATGGTTTAAGGCGGAGGATTTCTTCAACGGTTGCAAAAGAGGATGGCTTGGATTACTCCTTGATAAGAGAAACCTTTCAGGTTTACTTGTGTATTTTCTGATTAAGTTTTCGCTAATCTTCATTTCTAAGTGTAGTGTTGACAGTATTGGTGATGTGGTACTCTTGTTGATACTTTTACCAGCTTAGCCCCAATTAACCATGCAACTTAATAATTATTATTTCAAATAAAGGGCAATATCTTTCTGTTTGCATAGTGACTTTTTAAGACAAGTTAACTGGGCTTTTTTATTTTTTAATTTAGAGCTAATCCTCATTTTCATGTCTGCCATGATTTTGAGCATTGGCTCACTGATTTTTGGTAGAGTAGATATGGTTTGTTCGGGTAAAATTTCATTTCAATAGCTTTTTAACATTTAAACTTGCATGGTTAATCTGGGAATGATAATAGAACAGTATTTCAAATGCTTATATTTTATTTTTCCATTGACAAAGCCTTGGAGATATTTGATTTACGTGCTTGACTTCTTACACGTGAGGCAAAAATTTGGAGGCATTTAATATGCTTCATTGACTTCCTACTTGCAAGATTTTCCTTCCATAGTTGGTTAAAGAAGAATGCATTAGTATACACTACAAAGGCTGCCAAGACCTAGGTTTTCTATTTTTGATTAGAAATTATAATGCATTATCTTTGTGGTTAATCGTTATGACACCAAGGAAAACAAGAAAGAGTTAACATAAACCCACAAAACTACAGAAAAGAACACCCTCAAATTTCTAATCTTTCTAAAGCTAAATAAATAAATAGAGATTAAAAGAATAGAAGAAAGAACAGAACGTAAACAGAAAATACAGAATTATATCTACTAAAAGATCTAATGCTGATGTAGACTTTGGAATTGCCTAGTGAATTCCATCGATGGCCGGTAGAATACTTCTTGGCACTTGGATCTTAATTTTCCTACTGGTGACTCCCTATTTGTGTCCCACGTGAAGCTTTCAAGCGCCTGGACAGCATCTGAGAGGATCTAAAATTTTATTGATTCCAAAGGAAAACAACAAAGAAATCCAGTAGATAAGTGTTTATAATCAGGAAAATTAGTAGTAATTAAAAGCAATGGCAATAGATAACCTAATAGGGCCTCTTGCAACTCGATTTGGACCTTCTCGAGTATTTTTTAGACATCTGGTAGTTGAATGGCGCTTCCTGTAGGGCGGCAAGACAAAACAAAAACATATAGTTTTCCTGTTCTGGACCTAATACTTCCCCAGTGTATATAATTCTGCATCTAAAAGGTCACATTTGGCTGGCGGCCTTTCTTGCTGTCGGTGCTAAACCAGAATAAGGCAGCCAAGATCTGGATAGCATCAACGTCCTAGATTGCAATGGCTTGCCATAATCCACTGTTTTGTACACCAAGACAGTCGCCTGAAATATGTGAAGAAGATTCGGGTATGACTTTGGTGGAATCCTGGAATCTATAACCGTCCATTTCCTTCTTCTTTTAAGATTTAGGGGAAATCCACCTCAAGGATGCCAATTCTTCTTCTCTCTCAAATTTCCTGAAAATGGATCTAAAACAACCCGTCCCCCTCCCCCCTCCCCTTTCCTTTTTTGAAGAAAAAGGGGTTATTTATAAGCAAACGTAAGGCTAAAGAGGCCACAAATTACCAAACTACCCGTATTAAAACAAAAAGAAAAGAAATAAAGACAGCTAAATAAAAAAATCAAGAAACCTAACTAACTAAGCTATTTAAGGACTAACTAAATAAATCATGTTCGATATAAGCAAAGAGCTGTATGAGTGGAAGCTAGCGAGTTAGGAGAAACATAGAAAGAGCGGAGGGAGAAGTTTTTGCATATGATTTCGGTGAGAAATGAGTGAGTGAATGTGGAAGGTGCATGAGCTTGGTGGAGGCTGATGGGAGTGGCACTAGAGAGATGTCACACCCCATTTTTACCCTACCTAAAGCCAAAATGGAGTGTAATAGAGAAGGAGAATTTGAACAGACATATCTCTTATTAACACCCATCTTGAAATGCTTTTATCAGGACCATGTTAGCATGAAATAACCTAATCCAAACTATCCCAACACCTCAAGTTTTTCAAAACCTTAAGATTTTATTTCATATTTCATAATTGGAAACACATCTAAAATGCATCGAATAAAATAAAAAGCTTTCTAAGCTTCAATTAACATTTACATACTCAAAAGTGTATGTACAGTTTCTACTTTGACCTCCATGTACACCCCAAAATGTCAGTACACAAAAACTTTAATCAACCTTCCTGCCTAGTATCCCACTGACTCCTTCCCCTTTTTTGCAATATAATCGGTATTAATAAGCTAGGGATTAATGAAATACTCAAGTATAGTATAAGAAACATGTTTGCATTTAATTGAAACCAATCTGGTGTGTATAATATTGGGGTGTATAATAAACATGCACAAAACATCAATGTCTATTTAACTTTTCACATTTCCTGTTCTGATTACTGTTCAATACTTTGGCAAGTTATATGATGACTATAGGATTTTGCACACTTATAACTCTCTAATCCAAGGTTGGGTCCGTATTCCTAACTTTTAGAATTAGAGGGCAACTCTATCATTCAAGGGTCCAAATTCCCAACTTTTAGAATTGAGAGAACATATGGTACCTTCTTTATGGCTTCCTTAAGGTTTACCTCGTCAAATCTTTCATCTTTACTTGTACGGGCTTATCCCCCATTATCTTATTTAGCCTTTTCATTAACCTTTTCATATGCTTCACAAATTCATAACATTTTCATAACAATCATAAAAAAAATGTTATTGAAATAGATACTTGATGAAAATGAACTGTACGAAATATGTGGCTGTTATTTGCTTAGAATGTGAAAGGTTTTTGGGGCTGTTTGTATTCCCCTCTCATGCCTATATATATAGATGTTTTGGAATGTTTTAAGGTAAGTTTATGATGTGATATTTGGAAAGAAATCTGAGGGTTTTTGGAAAAGCTTGCGAGCTTTGTTCACCTTCTTCTTCTATCTCTTGGGGAGACTTGCGAGTTCTTTCCACCTTCTTCTCGGCATCTAACCTCTTTCGTCTCTCCGCAAGTTTAAACCCCATGTGTATCCTTCTTCATTTGGAAAGCAAGTTTATGGTGTCTTGTTTGAGTCAAGTTTGTAAGAGTCTTTGTTTGTAAGTCATTTTATTATATAAAGTTGTGGTTTATAGAATTTGTCTTTTTGAGTATTTTTATGTCTTTATTTTGTTTCTAGAAAGAGTTTCTTCTGTGATCAAAAATTTGGGGCCCTCTCCCAAATTTTTGATTGCATCATTTGGTATCAGAGCAAGTAGGAAGTCCTAGGTTTTGGTTTGTCAAGTCAAGTCTTATCATGTAAGTTTTGTTTTGAGTCATGTTGTCATTTGAGTCTTGGTGTCAAGTGAGCAATCTCAAGCCTTGGTGTCTCTTGATGCAACGCCTTCAGAATAAAGCTAACTCATCGGGAGGTGAGTTTTCAAGAAGGGGAGTTTGATGTATGCAAAGGGGGGGTCAAATCAAACCCAAAAAAAATTAGTTTTGACTTCCCTTGAGCTTGCTAGCTCATTAATTTTTGAGCTAAGATTTAGCTCATTATGAGCTGGTTTTTAGTTCATTTATTGAACTAAGAGTTAGCTCATTATGAGCTATGTTTTTAGTTCACTTATTAATTTATTAGTAGCTCATTAATTTTTGTCTCTTCTCCTTCCCCTTGTCTATTCGTTTCCCGTGGATGGCTCTTGTTTTTCCGTGCTTAGCTCCTTGGCTTCCTCGGTTGGTTGCTGGGTGGCCTTTCCCGTGCTTTGGTGCCTCGATTCCATGCGGGCCTCTTGGGTTTTCGCGGCTGCCTCTTCGGGTCCCTGTGTGTGCATCTATAGGACACGCCATGATCATCCTCCCCTTGCATGTTTTCCTTTGTTGCCTTAGAGCAATTAGTGTATCATAGTTTTCAACGACGATCAATGTTCTTTGGAGCTATAGTGCACAACATGGTAAGCACCATTTTAAAAATGATGGCCAAAGTAAGGTAAAAAAGGAAGAATATACATATAATTTAAGACTTAACATAAATGATATTAAAATTTAGCAATGAAGCTTATATAATACCATCCAAATGAAATAATGTTAGAAGTCAATGATTTAAGCAAGCAAATGACACACAAATACATAATTAATTGGTAAGTTCTAAAAATAAAACAATATGTAGTTCATTCAAAATAGAGAAGTACTAAAGTCATATTTGGCATCACTATTTATTTTATTTTTTCCTTAAATTTTGGACAAAACTTGATTGGTTAATAGTTTATAAGAAACTTTATTTTAAAAGAGATTAACTTATCTTAAAAAAATTCAAGATAACTTTTATTTGTTTTCATTGTTTTCAAAATATGAAATTCCACACATCGGCCAAACCTATACTTAACACTAGCCTACACTGAGCCCACTACCAACCAACATTGCGCCAACCACTAGCGACCCGTCGCCATGATTTCATTGCCCTCTTCCAAATTGTAAAATAAATCAATTGATATATCTTTAACAAAAATAAAAGTAACTTATATGTAAGATACCAAACATATATTTATTTTATATTAAAAGGAAATTTAAAAAAAAATGAAAACATAAAGTGAACTGCTGAATTGTGTGCCATTTGAATATAGTTATTTGTAAGTTGAATTTTGGGTTTTCTTATTATTAGAAATGTTATAATAGAAATTTGAGATATTTCTTTTAGGAGGGAAATGAAAAAAGAATTTGGAAACGAATAAGGTAATGGTAAAATTGTACAGTTGTAAGTAATGAATAAGTATTGGTCAAAACATGGAACTCTAGTTTATTTTCTCTTTTATTTTGATTGCGTCATGATTTACAAATGATAGACCTACATAGGGTCAATAAATAACAAATAATTTTGATTAGTCTTATTAAATAAAAAAGAGATAATTATATAAAATATCAAATTAAAGTTTCAAAATGGCACATACTGAATTGTGCCTCAAGCTTAATGTTATGGTTCACTTGAAGCACAGATGGTGCGGGCAATTTCATTCATCTGTACCTCGTAACACTGAAGGTGTTGAGGGTGTTCCCAACTGTATTGTAGGTCATTGTGCTTGTCATAGTGTGTCATTGCATTTGCCATAATGCGCTATTGATAATTACACAATTATTGTATTCTTGTACTACAAAGAGCTTTTGCACTATGTATGGAATTTGATGCACTTTCTTTTATGGTTTTCTTTCTGTTTTTTTCATCTGTTTATTGGTGTTTCTTCACAAGTTTGGTGCTTATTTAATAATTCAAGTGTTGAATCACAGCGTGCTGTTGATTACTTCTCTCTGCAAGTAATAAGCATCAATGATCTACTGCACTTGTATGCATATTGGGCGCGTTTGGAGGGTACTCTTGGAAATGATTTTGTTGCCGCTCGAGGTGTCTGGGAAAGCTTGATCAAGAAAAGGTCAACTTATTTGTTATCTTTGTTGCTTAACTTTGTTTCTAAGAATTATCATGTTAGTTCACAATGGTATAGAGATTAGTATGATACTTGCATGGTTAATCATTAAGCATCTAAATTATTCGTATTTTGTATTGTAATTGGTCATTGTTCTTATGGAATAATCGGGTTGTTCATGATATACATGTTTCTTGGACAAGTACTATGAATTCAACTTTCACTTGTTTTTTTCATTGATTTTGTGCCACTCTATTCAGTGGCTCGTTGCTAGAAGTGTGGCAAGGTTACCTAGCAATGGAAGTTGGAATGGGCCATATTAATGAGGCAAGGTCCATTTATAAGAGATGTTATAGTAAGAGGTTTCAAGGAACAGGTTCTGAGGTATTGAACTTACGCTTTTTGTTTCTCTTTTACTATCTTTTAGCTTCATGAGGACCATTAAAATTATAACCTCACTGGATTATTCAGTATGTGCTCATAGTTGACGAACTAAATTGTTATAGAAAAGAAAAGAAAAAAGAAATCATGGTAAGAATTACTTGTAGATTTGTTTTGGATTATAAAAAAGTAGCACTGTTTTGACTGTTGTGTTATCCTTAGACTTTGTCAGTCATTTTGTTTTTCTTAGTGAACTGTTCATGTAGAATGCTTGCTGCTAAAGGAGTAGGCCCTGGTAATAAAGATTTATTGTTCCCTACAGCATATTGATAATTTCTTCATTTACTGCATCATCGTGCAGGACAGTGTTTTATATATTTCATTTGCTTGTGAAGGTAGATATTGACAAAAAATATCTACTTTGGCAAGGTACTTAATGATGGGAAAGAGGAGGAACTCAGCGAATAACATGTTGTTGGGTCTCAAAATCTTTCCATCCTGCCAATCTTAAAACTATCTGAACCCAAAGTTAATGTTCTATTGAGTTTGATGACCCTTGAGGTCGACTTTTGTGTTATCATATGACAATATCATGTTCCTTAGGCTAATGCAATAATCCAAGAATGAGGCGTGTCTCAAGTAGCATTTGGTGTTGTGGCTGCAACGGGAACCCTTCAGGATGAAATGTCATATTTCCTCCTCTTGGTTGCATGTCCAGTGCTTATTTTAACCAGCATTTCCTATTAAATGTAAGCAAACAGCCTGTTCTCCCAATCTTTTACCGCTTTTGATGTCTACCACATGAACCATCCTTGCTCCAAAACATCAACACTATGTGTTGGTTTTGAGGTTGATCCTTGAATGAACTTCTATTCTTAAAAGAAGACTTGATAGCCTGCCAATTAAAAATCAACTCAATTATGATTTTACAAGCCAAAAGTTTCAAGAATATTAGTCATTAGACATTTTGTGACCTGCACTTTGTATTTACTGATTGGGTTGCATTGGCTTGTAGGGGTGTCAATTCGGGTCATCGGGTTGGATTCAGGTCGAACCCGTCTTGACCCGGGTGTAAACGGGTCAATCCGAACCCGACACGTTTAGCTAAGCGGGTCAAGAAATTAAACCCGGACCCGACCCGCACGGGTTCTCGGCTTGACCCGACTGGACCCGCGACCCGTTTGATTCAAAAACGGGCTAGACGGTGAGTGCGAGTCCGTGACGGGACGTGCGGTCGTCAGTCGGTGCAGACTCGACGTCCCCGTCTCAACTGATTCGCGTGAGTCCGTGACGGGACATTGCACGACGGACGGACGACTTGCCAGCGCGGGCGACGAGCTGAGGCGGTGCGGACCGCAGACTAGGCGTCATAGCCTCATAGGCGAGTAGGCCGCTGCGATTAGGTGAGCAATGGACGTGTTGACGTGGACAGCTGGCCAGGCGCCGTCTAGTCCAATTCCTCGAGTTGAGACCTGAACCCTATTTCCCTCCCAGTCGGCCAGTCCCACGCGGGAAAATTTTAAAACGAGCAGGTTATCGGGTTGACCCGGACCGACCCGTTTTTTAAACAGGTCGAAAGTTGAGACCCGAACCCGACTCGTTTGTTAAACAGGTCAACCTTAATCCGAATTTTTTGGGTCGTGTTCGGATCGGGTTATCGAGTCGTGTCATTAATTAACATCTCTATGGGCTGGTTAAAAAAGAATTCCATTTAATGGTATAATAAAAGATTTTTTGCCAAAGCTTGTTGACTTCTATATATATTCCATAATCAATTCGAGCAAATGCAATAAGAATAGCATCTGACAAACAGGATGTCATATGAAATAGGTTCGAAATGCCCCGTCTTTGATTGAAACAACTTAAAGGTCGCCTACTTGCTAGAAGGACGCGATGTGGTTGGAGCATTGAAATTATCAAAGAAGCGTCCTTCAAGCTTGACTCAATCGAACAACGGCGAACACAATAGTCCATGAATGTGAGGGTGCGTGAAATCATCTGTTTGTTGCAATTTGCAAGACAAACTGTGCTGACATGTCTTGAATGTTGAAATTATAACATAAGGGCCCTCCATGTTTGATTCTAGCTAGTGCAATAAAAAACAATGGTCTACAGATGCGATGTTATGTGAAGTTACTTGAATATTTTCCATTCACAAATCGAGCTCCGATGACATGTTTAGAACATAATATTATCTTGAAACATATCATGTTTCCTGGGTTGTCGTACAAGTCGAAACATACAATTTAGGTGCGTGCAAGGTGATAATATATAAATAAAAAATGCACAGGGAATAAGAAACTACATGAAGGTCGATTCTCACTTTCTTTTTTATGTTATGTTAACTAATTTATATATATATATATATACACCACCTATGCAGGGAAGACATTAGGAAGCTACCAAAATTAAGCTTGAACGAACTCACAGGCTATACAATGTTGATAAATCATTAAACAAGAAAAATACAAGTGAAATAAAAGGAAAAATACCATAAAATGAAAATGAGTATTGGAATGAAAATGGACTTATAGGGGACTTGTGATGAACAAATCAACTTATGGTAGGGAAGAACAATTCCCCATGAGATTAGCTTTGTTTAATCTCCTTTTGAAAATTGAAATATCTACATTTGAATTGTGGCTTAAGAATGTCGCATGGCAGAAAAAAAAAGAATACAAATAAAACTTGATTCGCTAAAAGCAAGTTAGTAGATTTTACATTATTGAAAAAAAAATTCAAAAACATTCATTTTCTCCAATGATGACTATGTTGAAAGAAAATCTCAATGGAGACTTTTCTCATCCAGGACTTGGGACCTGGCAACGACAGTGTTAGAAAATCTCAATGGAGAGGTTCATTTTCAAAATTAAAATTTTATGTTATAAATATAAATACGTTAAGTGATTTTAATATCACCCCAATGTTGTCCGTGTTGAAAGAAATCTCAATCGGGGGGGGGGTATTTTCAAAATCAATTTATTTTGTTGCAGATATAAATAGAGTAATTGCAATGTCACCCCAGAGATGGCTATGTTGAAAGAAAATCTTAATTGGAGGGGCCAATTTCAAAATCAAGTTTTCATGTTGCAGATATTTCGAGTGACTTTAATGTCACTTTGATGATGATCATATTGAAAGTTAATCTCAACCAAAATTTATATATATATATATATCTAAAAAATGCTACTAAATCTCAATGTAGATTATTTTAGGACCACACCCAAACAAAATTATGAAAATTTAATAAAATTATTAAAAAAATCTAAAACTACTTCAAGTGAAATTCACTAAACTCAGATGAGATCTGATTATCTACAAGTATGTTGGCAGAGTTGACAAGGTCGTAGGTAACAAAATGAAAACTTTCATATATATTTCATAATGGCTATGTTGTAAGTGAATCTCAACTGGAGGAGACTATCTATAAAATACTCCCAAATCTTAAAGTAAATTATTTGGGTGTTTAAATTTCTACAAAATATTAAAAAAATCAATAAAGAAGATAATATTCAAATGAAGTCTACAATCATAATAACTTAAAAACAAAATTAATCCCCTCTGCAAATGTTTATCGAGGATGACAGATTCAAGGGTAACTTCAGCTCACAAAGAGTCAATGTCTTGTGAAGCGTGTCAATACGATTCATTCTGTAAAAATATCTTCCTAGTAAGAACACGATAAGTGTCCTCTAATCGGTAGTTTTGTGCCAAATATCACCACAAATAAACTGTTATAGTTGGGGCCCTCTAATCGGATATTTTTGACGTGAAATGACACTATTAAATTCATATCATAGTTAGGGTTTGCAAATTCCCCAATGGTTTAAAAATTCCTTTAGTAGTCAATCATAGGGTGTGCTTTATAGGGCATAAAACTCTAATTTAGCTAAGGTTGACTTGTATTTATCCCCATTAGCAAACATCTACCTCAAGTCTACAAGATATCTTAGGGTGAAGCAACCCATATTTGTCGAAAATAATCCTTCGCTCATGTTGGGTTGACCACTATCTCATTTTATATAAACTATGAACCATGACAAATTTTCGGAGCCCTCAAATCATATAACATCCCTCCCTTCCTCACACCTCTTGGTACTCTCCCTTGCTCCCAACACCAGCCACATCACAGCTCTCTAATTCATTAGAGAACTTCCTTACAATAATACTTCATTGTGACTATTGTTCTTGTTTGAGTGGAAGGTGAAGAGATGGAGTACATGAGGAAATACAAATTGAAGGGGGCAGGTTACAGGGGAATAGAAGATGAAGAAAATTCAGTTAAAGATAGAGTATGCTTTGCTTTCTTGATAGTGTAATACTCTTCCATATTTGACAAATTTATCTACTTCATCATGTTCTTGTGATGATATGATAGATATTAGATACAGAACACATCAAATTTTGTTTGCTCAGTCCAATATGTCTAGTTTAGACATTTTCTATGGATTGAATAATTTAGTGGACTTTTTTATTTTTTCGCATGCTTTGATTACCATTCGGTGATTATCATACATTATGCAACAAATTCATTATATCCAGTTCTTCCTTTTCAGATAAACATTTTTAAACTTATCTTGTGGCTTAAGGTTTTAATAGTAGTGGATAGTTCTTTTTATAACTCAGAATCATTCAGGACATTTGCCACTCTTGGTTGCGATTTGAAAGGGAATATGGCACTTTGGATGATCTTGATCTTGCCGTCAAAAAGGTATGCCCTCTTCTGTTGTAGATTGGCCTCAGTTTCCATCAGTAACAGTGATCACATCAAAATTTTTCCAGTATATATTAGAGGTTTGTTAATATTTTTCGTATTTGACTGGCACATGTTTCTTCGTTTACCAGTTTGTAGGAATTGATCTATGAATAGGTTGGATGAATTTGTTGATGATTTCTAATCTATTGTTCAACCAAAAGGTTGCATGTGAAAGATAACTTGGCATAAAATACTATTTTTCTTTCATGTAACAGTGAACCCTTTTATTTTCTTCTTTAATTTGTGTCTTTGTGGTGTTGGAATATATTTTATGTTTTGCTCTAACAATTTTAGATAAATTTTTTTTATATCATACCTTTGGTGTCAAGTTGGGTTGCCAAGTAGTCAAGTAAAAGTGTAAAACCAATGGGATTATTTCATAGGATAGGGATCATTAGGGACGGAGCAAATGTACTTTACTTCTTCGTACTCTTTAATCTGTGTTGCGCTTATAGCACTCTGGCTCTCAGCGTTTTCTCTTGCCCACTACTTTGTGGCTGCTATGGCTATAAAAGGCTAAATGTACTTTGAACATTGTAAGGATTCTAAATCAAGAAAGTTGGGGTTCCTGGTCGCTTAATATCTGAGAAGCTTCTAAGAACCACGTCTACCACGTTAGCCTTGTATGGTGATTAGACTAGGAGTCAGTAGGGAGGAATGGATTCATCTAAGTTTCAGAGGTGCTAGTAGGATGGAGTGGCCCCCATCAACAGTTGAGTGGCTAACAGGAGAATGTGGTCACATTTAAGGTCAGCTCTGAATCCCCCATTGGCTTAATGGTTCAAGCAAAGTTTTTGTGCCATCAATGATCTCATTAAAAATGTACATAGACACATTCACATAGTTAAAGTTGTTGATGCCCTACCTCCTCCTTGTGTTACTGCACCTAATTCTATACATTTGAAACCTAACTTTGAGGTATTTAGAGGATGGAGTTTTTTTTTTTTAGGGAAATTGAAGCTCAAATGCAATATATTAGAAATAAATAGGAAAAGTAACTGTATACAAAATGCAGAACTAATTGAGCTCAAAAATTTCTGAAGGCAAAAACAACCGGACACCCACAAGGACTCAGAATGCCACAAAATGATCCCAAATTTTAGTAAAGAAGCTAATAAATGAAGCAGGCTCACCACGGTTGTCAGGCATTATAAGGCCGTCAAGGGGTGGGAGAGTATAAAGCCAGCGGTCTACACACCGACGACCATCTTGGGATGACTAAGAGTGGCAGCATGGTAACAACTGTTCATCGTCATCGGGAGCAAAAAAGCCACCCAAAAAAAAAGAAACAGAAGACCAGAAACATCCAAACAGAATTCATCCAGCAAGTTATCTTAAGAAATTCTTGATGATGTTATGGCATTTCCAATTCTGAGCTTTCAAGAGAATGACCCTCCAGATCTGAAAGTGAAGAGAAGTGAGGCTATGTATTTCATTCCCAAATTTCTGGCATTTCGTTCTCTCCAGATGTAGTATATGAGTGCTGATATGTGAAGGCAGTGGACATTGTTAATCTCAGATTTTCCTTAAATAAGTTTGGATGACATCAAAGCCTTAAATATGTTTGGATGATGCAGAAAGGAGGAGAACGATGGCAGAATCTTTCTTAAAAGGTTGAATGAAAAATCACATTCAAAAAATAAATGTTTAGTTCTTTCAGCATAGGAATCACAAAAAATGCAGGTAGTGTTTGCTAGAATATTTTTGGAAGAAAGAGAACCTGCAGTTTTAAGCCCACCAATAATAGCTAGCCAAGCATAGATAGAGAATCTAATGGAGTAATGTTTATGCCGCTGTTGAATAAAAAAAGAGAGAAAATAAAGTTGTTAAATTCTACAGCTCAATTTGAAATTTAGAAATTTTAACAGAGTTTAGTCCTTTGAATGTTGGGTTCAGCAATTAAATTTGCTATCATGTTGTGATGAAGATGAGGAGTAGAATGAAAAGGAACAAACATCTCTATGGCCGCATAAACTCAAATAAATCAGACTTGATATTAAGACAAGCTAGCAACCAAATTTGAAATCAAACTGTAGGCTAATGCTTCTAATCACCCCACTCCCTATAAGAATCTCCAGCTCATTCCCAATTAACCATTGAAAACTACAAAATTCACAAACACTAGCACCAAACATCAGCAGCAGATGACAACTACAATAAACCAACAAATGTGGAAACCGTAATTAAGCAAATAAAGTTGATTCTTCATGAAACAATGCATCCATACAATATAATACAGTTATCCCCAATCTGGCCCCACCTTGCCAAACGACGCAGCAATTCAATTCAATAACTGTGTCTTAACGACTTAATCAATAATAATAATAAATGAAATTGAAGAAGGGAGATAGATGTTCACTTGTCTTCTTGACAATCTTGTTTTGTCGCATCAAATTTCTCCAAATCCTACCTCCGAGCACGAACCTATATCCGATCATGAACCTGTACGAGATCATGAGCCTGCACTTGCCCGATCGAGCCTGCCGTGAGTCCAAGAGTTTGCCTCCCAAACATAAGATGGTCTCCCGCTTGCAAATCCACTTCCTGATTACAATCCGACCAGGTACATAGACCACAATAATTCACCCTTTTTTCGTTCCAGACATGAACAAGCCGCACGAAAACCCTTCTCGTGCGGCTTTCACTTATTCCAAATTGAATCTCACCCTCAGGAAAGAATGCCGCATATGCCTCCCTATCCCACACCTTCATCGTCTACTCAAGCCGTAACCCAAAAACTCCCGCACGAAGGCCATGTGCTCTTCTCCTTTTCACATGAATATAATATTTCATGAATTTCCTATCTATGTTATCCGCCCCTAACCCTCTAACCAGTTTTATATATTTATTATTCAATTCACGTGAACCTTCTATTCATTGCTTTCTAATTCAGCTCAAACTGCTTGGGATTATTGCTTAAAGGAAAAACAGTCCGAATTAATTGAAGAAGACAATTTGAATTGCCTATCTCTACTACAATTTTCGGCCCTGTCTGATCCTTGATTTTGGTTGGACGTATAAACAATATAAAATTTTTATTGAACATATTGTGTAAGGATAAATTCAAATGAAGACCTCGTGCCGTTGATTTAAAATCCGGCTGAGATGGTTTCAAAATGATTGCATCATGCCGGTGATTTTAAATCCGGCCGAAATGGTTTTAATCAAAGGCCTCGTGTCATCGACCTTAGGTCTTGCTGGGAAGAAACTATCGACATATGCCGTCCCGATCTCCCCATGAGGGGGGATGCCAGGAGGCTGCCAAAATCTCCCGGAAGATTGCAGAAGTTAGAAAACAATGATTAATTTGAACTTTTAAAAATTAATAAATCTAATTAAATTAAAACCTTAATTAAAAAAAAAACTTATTTTCAATTTTAATAAAATGTAACTATTCATTTAAATCAAATGTAATTTAAAAAATCTAATTTAATTTAAAATAAATCACATTTAATCTAAAAATCTGATTTAATCAATTTAACATAAAATTCAAGATAACCAATTTTTGAAGTTCACTTAATTTAATAATCAACTTTAATAAATTAGTCATGTTAAAAAAAAATTAAAATTCGAAACCCACTAAACTAATTTTAAAAATCTCATTAACTAATTAAATTTAAACAATTTAATCAAATTAAAAATTTAATTTCATTAATCAACCAAATTAAATTCATTAATTCAATTAATCAATTTAACATTTAATTAAATAACTCATCAAATCAAACAATTTTCATTTAATTGAATAATTTAAAATTCATTCAACTGATCATAAAATTTAAGTAACCAATTTAATTAACTTAAAATTTAAAATCAACCAACCAATTTGAAAAATTTCACCAACCAATCAAATGAACCAAAGTAAAATGTGTAAAATTTATAATGTTCATACTAACAAAACTAAAATAACTCAACTCAAACTCACAACTAAAATACAACCAACAAACTCAACTCAAACTCACAACTCAAACACAACCAATTAACTCAACTCACAACTCTCAACACTAAAACTCTCAAACGTCATTGCTCTCCAAACCCTATAAAAACCTTGTACAATAACTCTCAAACTCTGTACTCTCAAACACTGCGAATCCTCTAAATTTTGAAACATCATGAGCTCCTACAACAAGCAAATAAAATTTATTAGCTTCAAAATTAAATTAATATCAAAATAAATGCTAAAACAGGAAAAAGAATAAATATTACACTAAGCTATAAACATAAAGTTGAGCAGACTACTAAAAAATAGAACTGAAAGAGAACTAGTAATATCAAAATAAAAAATAAAACAGGTTAAAGTGCGGAACTACTAAAACAAGGAAAGAAACTACGGTAGCAGAAATACTAGTGTCACATAACAACAACTGAGGGCTAGTAAGTGTCGAGTAAATAACTGAAAACCACAGTCTAGTATCAAGCTAACAAACTACTATTGTTTACTCAAACAAATAAATAATTAAATTAATGGGCATCCTAGTCTATAGGGCTAAGTTATAAGACCCATTATTGGGTCACTTCTAAGTGAAGTAATAAAACCTACATTTTAGGGAATCTCTAAATAAAATGTAGTATCCCTAAAATCTCAACCAAATTCAAACGAGCAGTTTAGCTTAGAGGGCTAAATTGTAAGACCTGCTAATGGAATACTTACAGAGGGAAGCAATAAGACCCTTTTTACCTAAATAACTAGGCAACTTCTAATCGGAGTCATGAGATCTATTATTTGAAAAAAATTTAGATAAAACATCAAACCCTCAAACAAAAATCAACAGACAGCTTAGCCTATAGGGCTATGTTATAAAACCTACCAATGGCTACTTCTATTAGAAGTCGTAAGCCCCGCATTATGGGCTAATTTCAATGAAAGTCGGAAATCTTGACCCAAATTTGAACACCCGAGCTACTTCTAATAGAAGCCGTAAGACCCTCTTCAATTCAAACTTCTGAGCAATTTCTAA